CTTCTGCAAGAACAAGAGCAACACATTTTTCTGAGCAACTTATAATTTGCTTTTATCCACTTTATAGAGCACGTTACCGCACAGTACATCAGTCTCAAAGAAACCACAGAATATATTGCAAAGCGAATTGATTATATCTTTTGCGAAACTGAGCAGATAATTGAAAACCGCAGTATTCCACCGATATATTGTCAATTGATTTATACGATAATGGGTTATTGACCTCCGATAGCGATCGGGGAATCGACTATCAACATGTTTCCTACATAATGCTGTGGAAACAGATTGGTGAGGTGTGAGCAAACGCATTGAAAGGTTTCATTGCCCTGCAATCAAACTCGGGTTCTCTCGCTGGTGAGGCGACCTCTCTAAACATTATGCTTCGGAATGTTTATGATGTAAAGTTCATGCGCTGGGTATGTCCTCACACACTTACTGGCTATGGTGAGGACTGCTATCAGTAACTGGCAGTGAGGTGTCATGTTGGCTGCTTAGGTGTGGACAGATAATGGGATCTCTTCCTTTGTATATCGCTGTGTTGCTGCTTCAGTGACCATTGTGAGAAGCGGCTGATCTGACGGGTTCAGTGGTTTACTGTCTCCAATTGTAGGCGTTTCCCACTAACCAGAGGATCTTGAACTCGATCTTCTCCGATTGAAGCGAATGGGTCTGGGTTGGATGGGAATATTGCCGCACGTATCACACAACAACAATTCATTTTACTGTTTAATGAGTGAACCGATTTGAAGTGAATCGTTGAGCCATGCAGCAGAGCCTAAAGGAATAAGGTTCAGTTTCTGTCATCAAGGCTGAGTAACAACTTTTCCGCTTTTGATGTCACTTTCTCTAATGAGGATCTTGAACTTGATCTGCCGCGGATTGGAGGCTAGTAGGTCTGGGCGAGGTTGCGAGGAGTGCGTTTCACCCACTAACAATTTGCTTTACTGTTCATTTGTGAAGCGCTTCAGGACGCCTTCGAGACGCAGTATGGATGTATATCAAATGATTAAATGGCATTTTTATTTTCAATACTGTTCTGAATGCATTCATTTGGTTGATCTTGAACAATGCAGCCTAGCTTTAAAAAAGGTTTACTTTCTATCAAGGCTGAGTTGAAAACCGGCATCTGTTATTGGTACTTTCTCCTATGTGTCTGAATGTTATTGGTTCTGGACCCAGATCGACAGTTTGAGCTCCCAGTGTATCAGAGATTGCGTTTCAATTCTTACATTAAGTTAAACGAGGTCAGTTGTAATCTCGTTTTCAAATTAAACAAACATAAATGACCATATACCATAACAAAATTTATCACATTTTTTATCTCAGTGTGAACCACATGAGGGCGAAAGCTTCTGGTAGAGAAAGACAACACATCTAAAAAGTGACACAAATACTGTTCTTTGAGTAATCTAAATTTTGTGCCAATCATGATTTAGACAAGGTTTTTGCACGTCAGCTGAAGCAGCAATATGTATGTCAGGAAACTATGTCAACTGCAACAGGAAGCACCTGTCAGTGACATAAAGGAACGTGAAAAGGTATGTCAGTCGCAGCTCATGTTATATTATTTTTAGTGTGACATCTGCTGGTGGATTGCAGCTACAGCATGTGTACATTTGGAGACAGTTGATTGCAAATTATTTTCGGCCCGTCTTAACTTTCCCGCTATGAATGTCGCTACGTAGATGCAAGTTAATGTTTCTTATTGTTTCCTACTTGTTCAAATAGCAGAGAAGGACAATTCCAGTGTTGGTCTACCCGGATTGCAAAATATATGAAGATATTTCTGTGAAAATAACATGAACGTATTTAGCAATAATAATCGTTGCATTTATTATAGTGCCAAACCACATCGTCGAAAAGCCTCAAAGCGCTTTGCCGTGAATGGAACACACGTATCTCGCTTGCTTGCTGCTTGCGAGGTGTGTGCTATAACCACTGAGCTACAGGACTCCACATGGCAGTTTTTGTAGGGCGGAGCCGCTGATCTGTGCCTCTGTGGGGCTCAGTGCACAGTAATACCCCGCGGAGTCTGTATCTCTCACTTGGGATATATTTAATGGGACGGTTCTACGACTTTCATCCAGTTTCGTTGAGAAACGTTCTTTTGCAAAGTCTGCATGTTGCGGTTGGCCCCTGCGTATGTCCAAAGGATATATTCTGGAGCTTTGTTAGGATACTGACGGTACCAGAACAGATAGAGAGTGTTGCTTGTAGTTGTGTAATTACACTGGAGAGTAACATCCTCCTCTTCATTCACTGTCACTGTAGATTGGAGCTGTGTCACCGAATCACCTCTACAATATCCTGGGAAACAGATACAATGCAACAGCGTTCAATAAAATAATTATGATGACCGTGATAAAGCTTGCAACTCATATAGCGAATTATCACAGCTTGGAGATGGCCAAGCGCTTCACACAATGGTTATTAATTGTATTTTCCGGGCAAAGCACACCAGCGTATGCACAGTGCAGTAACGCACAAAATGTCCTGCATGACGCCCCCATATTATCACAGGTAACATTTTTTGAGGGATTAACACCACCATAAAAGGCATCTGCCCATTGACTTATACCTGGAATCCTACGTATTCATAGGAAAGCACTCGCGAGTGTGTGGAGTCTGGAAACTTGCTGAAGGTTTTGACCTGTTCCGTCCTGGAATCGAGTCCAGCTCCTCTCCCTTGCTAGACAAGTGATCTAACAACTGAAGTGTAGTACTCCACGACCACAAGTGTCCTGTACCGTATCGGTTATTTGGTGCAATAAAACATAAGTTTTGGATTTCATTTGCAGGAACCAGACTTAAGGGGTAAGTTTTCCGCTTACCTGACAAGGCAATGATGGCGGCTGCTACATACATATACATGGCCATATATATTTAATGACGAGACGCGTTGAGACTGCGTTGATTGAATATTTGGAGAATGTTGGCCTAAAGATTCCGTGAGTAGGGCTGAACAGGGAACAACAACACACAGAAGTTGTCATATATTGTGAGGGAGCAGGACTGAGTGTTATGTACAAGCCTTGTGTCTCTGTCATTCTGCGTCATCTTGTCTCGTCTGCCATTTCGCTCCTCCATTGGTTCTCTTCCATCGCTGACATATATTTGTTCAATCGGGTGTCTGAAACATGCAGCAAGTTACACCCATATTTATGTTCAGCGAAAACATATACATGAGTTCCACAAAGGTGTGCCATCTGTGGAGGCCTGAAGCTCACTGTTTAAAGCCCTCACCATACAAGACCTGCGTTCGATTCCAAGCAATCTGAAATGTTGGCCAGTTTCGCAACTCCCAACAAACAATTTTACCACAATTTTTTACAACTTTCATCAATAAGTAGGAAACTTCTTGTCAGTCGACTGTCGGTTACTTTGCTGGGGATAACAATCCCGTTTCGTATTTAAGATACACAGTGGCAACACTTTAAAGTAGACTGTGTGAAGCGCTTTAAGACATCTCAGAAGCGCGATAAGGTGCCGTTTAACGTTCATGGATTAATATTATATACAGTCAAAAAAGGGAGTAGGAGATATTAAGCGGTAGCCCCTGAGTGTGTGCAGACACAATGGCCTAATGTGTGGGTTTTACTCCCCAGTTAGTTGAAAATTCCTTTCCTGCCCCTTTCCGGTCCATACATCTGGGTTTCAGCCGTTTGGGTACAAAACACATGTTTTTTTATTTTCAAAAAATAATTCATGCCTAATTCATATCTACAATTTATTTGCGCTGTATTGTGTATTTCGCTGAATCACACTTAATATTTTAATATTTATTTTGGTAAACCTGGTGTCTGACACTGACACTTGTGGAATTCCAACACCATTCTTATGAGTATTCAAATAAACATAGAAATACAGCAATAATTCTTTCAGTTGATATCGCGCCTTGTCACATAATACAGACGTCCGAGAGCGTCTCACGTAATACATTGTATAGAAAATTTGTTGCATGGTTCGTGGAAGAAATGAGGCAGTAAAAACAACTTGGATATATATATATATGTATATATAGCGCCCTCCATGCAGAAAGTGTCTCAGAGCTTCACAGTAACGGATCCCGGGCCGAGTCAGGGGCAGGGGGAGGAAGGTGACTAAAGTCGCGGCCGAAAAGAAAGGTCTTCAGCAGAGACTTAACTTTAGGAAGAGAAGGGGCGAGGCGAAGGGCGGGAGGAAGTGAGTTACAGAGCCTCGGGGCATATTGGCGGAAGGCACGGCCGCCGATGGGTTGAACGGAGGAGTCGGGGGATGAGTAGGAGGACAGACCCGGTGGAACGAAGGCAACAGGAAGGGTTTTGAGGAGTAAGGAGTTCAGAGAGGTGGGTGCAGAGGGGTGGAGGGATTTGAAGAGAAGGCTGAGGCAGCCAATTTTACACAGCGGTGCCGCATAAGTAGTCATGAAATGCGTTTTAGTCCTTATAATTTAAAACAATATTTTAAGAGATATTACCCGAGTATCAATATCTACTTAAGCGGAGTTATGCGTGAAGAGAAAGCAAACTTTTCAAGGGTATAGCCCTCTACTGTCGGGTACTCGAACCCAGTTACTCTCGCTTGCAAGTCGAGTCCTCAAACTATTATACTACAGGATAGCACAATCCGGCAGATATGATATGAAAATTTCGTGATTAAGGAGGTTGAAGGAAACTCAGAGGCAGAGGATGCAGTACGTTTATAATGGTGAACAAAAGGGGAATTGCTGGATGATTTCCAGCTCACTGCAAGGTAAACCGAGGTATGTCTGTGAAGAAAGCATATTTGCTTAAAGTTACCCCCTTCATTGAAATCGATCCCACGACCCATCGCTTGCGAGTCGAGTGTTCTCAACAGTGATTTACACGTCTCCACAGTCCTGCAGCCATGACATGAACATCCCGACATTAATAAGGAAATTGAGGGAAACTAAGAGACAGTGAGCGCTGAGCAGTTATTGTGATGAACAAATTGCTGACTGATCACTGGAGGTTTGTGTACGGCCTCTCTATGTGATTGTCTCACTGTGTCTCCACTGCACACAAGTAGGTGGCGGCGTCTGTCACTTCTGTGCCTGTGATGCTCAGGTTACTGCGCTTCTCTCTATAGTTCATTGAAGCTGTGATCCTCTCCTTCTGTTGCTCTCCTGTCTGTCCTGTTACCAAGTGTTTGAGAGCCTGGTTCGGGTACTGTCTGTACCATTGTAAGCCCTGACCCTGTTCTGTTGTGGAACAGCTGATAAGCACTTGTTCATTCTCACCAACAGACACAGAGAGTGGCGACTGGGAGACTTTATCCTGTCCACTGACCCCTGGTAAATACAAGACAATCTGTTTAAGAAACTCACTCGTAAATTGTGGTGGAATTAAATACAATTACACACAACGAGAAAACGGGTCTTGTCTGAGAACCAAACTCACCCCAGAGCGAAAGGTCAGCTTTCAGGAGGATGATTATTAAAGAATAATAGCACATCATAGCCGATCTTTCTGCGACTTGATGAAGAAACGCAAGTTTCCTTAAAATACAGGCAGGTTTCCTTACTCCACAAGGATCTGTTTATCGAGAAGTAAGTAGGAATTAGGTTGTTAGTCGATTGGCGGTTTGATTTTCTGGGGAATGATAATCCCTGAAAAAAAATATTACACTCTATCGTCGGCTGTTTGAGAGACTCCGCTGTGCGCAATAGCAATACGTTTTCGTTTCTCGCCAATGCATTGCACAGTCGCTGAGCTTTACAGTATATTATGTGAAGCGCTTTGAGAGGCTTCAGTGACGAATTAAGGCGCGGAATCGAGTGTCAAGGATTATTGTTACATAGAGAGTCAAAATAAGGTAAGACGAGGTATTCAGTCGAAGCCCCTGAGTGTGTGCAGACGACTGGACAATGGCCAAATGTGTGTTGGCTTCACATCCCCGGGGGCGGGTGTCAATTTGATAACGAGGAGAAACGAGCCATTGAGAGGGTTCAAAGCGGAAAGGGGGAGCCACGTGAAGTCAGCAGTTTCTCAGAAGTCTCTGCCCCAATTAGTTGAAAGTTCTGCCCCTTTCCGCTCCAGGATTCTGGTTTACAGCCGTTTAGGTCGATTTTGTAGCTAAAATTTGTTGTACTCTACGGTTCATTTCACTGAATGATGCTTCATGTATTAACGTTCACGTTTGTAACCTGTGTGTCTGACACATGGAGATAAACTTCACTGTGATTTTGTGTATCCGAAACAAACTGCGACTTACAATTATCAGCTTATGTATTTCTATTGCGACGTATTACATCTTCTGGACGTCTCGAAGTGCTTCACGGTTATAATTTAGTATATAGTGACTGCGTTTTGTGGTGACGGAACTTGGCTGCCAGTTGCGCACAAGAATATCCCACAAAGATTGATTGATTGGGTGACCACATTATCTATCTTTAATTTGAAGGAATTGCTACACTTTCTTATAAGTTTTGATCCCGCCAATCGATGACCAACCAGTTTCCTACGTAATGCCAGGTAAATAGAATTATTGGGAGTAAGAAATATGCAGTGGTTGAAACACGGCAGCCAATTTCACACAACGGTGTCACGTAGACATGCGATCGATTAAGTATTCTTTTTCGATATTTTTTACGAATTATTATTCGCGGAACTGTGTTCTGCTAATCGACGTACAACCGAGTTAGTAATTATTGCAAGTCAAACAGTGGCACGTGCAGCAACGAAATTTATCCTCCGTTTTGCACAGCCTGGAATCGAACCCAGCCACTCGTTTGCAAGGCGATTGCTCCATCCAATGATCTACAGTATACCCAGAATGTTTTTGTACAGGTCCCTCTTAGACACACAGCACTGTGCTCACCGCACAGAAGTAAGTGGCGGTGTCTGATACTCTCACGTTTTGGATCGTTAGAGTGCAGTTTCCCTGCCTTGTATTAGCAAAAGCTCTTATCCTGTCCTTCACATTGATGTCGCTTTTTCCCAAAACCAAGAACCGGATGGAGCCGTTTCCATACTGTTTGTACCAGTGAAAGTAAGGTTTGTTTCCAGTGATGCTGCACTCCATAGATACGTTTCCATGTTCATTCTCTGTCATGGCCTCAGGTCTCTGTGACACATCGCTTTCAGCCAAAACACCTGGGAAATAGAAATGAAAATTCTTTGCAAGAAATTCCGAAAATATCTGCGAAGAAAATTTGAAATCACTTTGCAGGAAAACTAGAATATTTGCCCAAACTCCTGTGCTACTTACACAGTGGAAATATAACTAAATTCAAAATAATATATTTTGCATTGTAAATCTGCTTCATTCTCAACTCGTGTAGATTCAAGTGAACTTGTTTCGTTGACATGCAGTGAGAAATCGTTTAAGCGTAGCACCCGGTTTATAGACTTTTTATTATGTGAGAAGATGGCACTATCCTTTCTCTGTTTATTGCTGAAGGTGTATTGCGACTCCGCCTATCGTTTGTGCTCAGATTCCATTCGATTCGCTGTGGCAAACCACAGTAATATGTGAAAGAGACAATGTAAAGTGACACAGTTACAAATACTGAAGGAAAGGTACAAATAACAGTAATGATTTTTGATATTGACATAGAGCCTTTTCACGTCTTCGAGTCGTCTCGAATTCTTTCACAGATTATACTGTTTTGCCAATTGATTGTGTAATTTCAGGGTTTACAATTACGCCATCCAATAGCACACAGTAATGTCACACATACAGTCTAGGATGGAGTGACCAGTTTACCACTCTATTGAAAGTTTTATTACACCGGAAATCGATCCATCATCCGAGTAATAAATGGGTTCCTATTTACTGCGAGGTTAAACCGAGGCATGTGGCGTAAGGAAACTTGGCCAAAACTCCGCCCCGATGGGAATCGAAAACACGTCTCCTACTTGCGAGGAGACTGCTCTAACCACTCAGCTATAGGACCAAGATAGCTTTGGAAAGTGCCCAGATCTTGGTAACTTGGCGACTTGCAAGAATAATATATCAGGAACCTTGTCATTGAGAGAATTAGATCATACGATTCTCAGTGTCGTACAGATGCCAAGTTAAGGATAGTTTAGGATACAAGGAAGAAGATTTCCAATAATCGTGGGAGTTGGACAGTGAAAGATTCCTGAAGCACCCTAACATTGTGTAGACTGATCACCTACACTTTGTGATAAACTTTGATTCGAATAATCTACGTTTCGAATGCATCTGTTGTTCATAATGGAATGTGCAAACCAGTAAAAGGAAGAGGTTGGCAATCTTCTGAAAACGATTGGAAATAGGGTACAATAATATATGTTATTGAACCAATTTTTTGAACCATTGGTGTCTGTGGGAAACATCAGCGCACCAATGACACCCAGTGGTCATGCGTCGCAATAGAATTGTTCAGCTGAACCCAAAATAACAATTATGATAATACTAATGGTTGCATTTGATGCAACGCCTCATAATGCCGTTGGGACGTCAGAAAGAGTTTCGTAGGATATTGTGTGTGGTGTAATAATGTACAGCGTTTTTCGGGAGCGAAAAGTGGGGGTCTATTGCACACAATCAGTCAACGATTGTGTTACCAAATTGTTGTCATTATTTTTAAGGGATTATTACTCCTGGAAAAGCGATCCGAATGACAAACCGTGTGGCTGCAACTGCTAGGTAGGCAGAAGCATGTGTGTGGAGCAAACACATTTGCCCAAAGTTTCGTTCCACCCGGGAATCGATCCCAGAACTTCATGCTTGCAAACTGAATTGTCTTAAGTCTAAATAATACACCACACGACTTTCGACATGATTCCCTTTAACTGATTTCATCGATAACGTTTTAAGCGCTGCTTTGATTATAAACAAATCAGCAAATTTCGCCCTTGTGTCGCCAATCTGCTTGTGAAATTTTCTCTGTATTAAAATAAATACAAATGCAATGACTCCCACTCGCGGTTTCGCGATAAAACAAGCAGCTGGAGTTGTTGTACGGAGCCGCCATAGTACGGCAGCAATGTGGGCCTCTTGGCGCTGTAATATACGAACTGTCCCTGATCAGGACGGTTACAATACTCAGTTCGAAATATTCACTTGTTTTATTGACGGTGGAGTAGAATCAATTTGGGAAGTCAGAGCTCATATAATCCGTTCCTGAAATTGAGCGAAGTATGTAGACAGGAGCGTTCCTGGAAGCTTGTCTGTACCAGTAGAGGTAGGAGGTGTCATTGATTTTCTTTAAGCTGCAGGATAATTTCACATCATTTCGCTCTTCAACTGTTGTATCGCCTTTCTGTTGTTTCACCGTGTTTTGCAGACTGTTTCCTGTGATTCAAAAGAAAAGATAGTGGAACAGCAAGTTTGTCTTATGTGGAGCTCTGCAGTGTATTGGTGACAACATTCGCATCATAAGCAAGAGGATCTATACCAGGGCAGGACGAAAGCTTTCGAAATTATCCTTGCTCCATACGCCTCTGTTTATCAAGCAGAAAATCGGAACAACTTTGTTAGTCGATTGCAGTTTATCTTTTCCAGGGGTAATTAGTCCTTCAGTGTTAATTTGATAAAGACAAGTAATAATTTGGTTACTCAATCCATGAATATTCGGTCAAAACTGTTGTCCGCAATCGGCTCGAATATATGAAAAGGCACAATGTCTAATCAAACGATTATTAATGTTGTAATGTTGTAAAAGGTATAATAAGATATTAAAAAAAAGAAACTATACAAAAGACACTAACGGCAAAGTAAGCTGAGAGTGATTGAGAACACAGCACATGTCTCCCACATGAGCACCTGATCCCGTGTCTGACATTAACTCCCCAATGTGGACTGATGGGGCTTTTGGGCTCAGTAGCCACACAATTAATCCCCGCCCACAAAGGGCCCCGCCCACACAGCGACTGCCACGCCCACGGAGCTACGTCACTCAGTCACTGCCCCGCCCGCAGAGAGCCCCGCCCACACAGCCACTCCCACTCATACTGCTACGTCATCAGTCACTGCCCCGCCCGCACTGAGCCCCGCCCACGAAGCCTCTGCCAAGTCCATACTGCTACGTCATCAGTCACTGCCCCGCCCGCACTGAGCCGCATCGCCCAATCACTGCAGTTACATTCAGAGCTCCGCCCCCACAGCGTCCCGCCCCATCCACTCCCCTCACGCAAACACACACAGTGCCACACAATCAGGTCACTCAATCCACAACAATATGTGGGCCACGAGTTTGCAAAGTTTGCTACCAAGTTTCGCCCACACAATACAATCTAACAACCCAAGCAACCCCTTCCACACTCCACCCCACACCCCACACTCTCCCACACCCACAGTGCCGCAAAGTAAAGCAACTCAAACCACAACATTTTGTGGCATATTGCTGTACACAATTGGCATCAAACAATATAGTCACTCGACTTTTCAGCGTATTCTTTGAAGAGCTTTCAGACATCTCAATGACATAATATGGCAGTATATCAAATACAATGTTTGTCATTATTATCGTTATTATTACTGTGTTGAATAAGAAATGCCCTTACAATTGTGTTCATTAACCGTGCTAGAGAAATGATTTTATCAAATACAGCCTTGTTATTTGGTCAATACGCCACAAAACTCCTGCGGTTTAAAACTAGTTATTTCTCGAGCAGTGCAATGGCAGCTTTATAGTCCCTTCATACAAGCCGCCTGGACGTGGGATTAATATCAACTCGGCAGGACGAGATTCACCGACAATAAAGACAGCCAGGCCTGCTCTAGAATGTCAGCCCAGAAGAGAAGAAAATAATTCGATACATATTACACAGTGATCTTTTCAGTCGCATTTCAATGTGTCAGTTGCGTGGTGAAATATCAATGTTTTTATTATGAAGTAATACACCTATTAAATAGCTTAATGTTCACGTTTAATGTAGTTGCCTAACCAAACAGTGAGGAGTGAGACGTATATTATTTTCACACAGCAACTTGTTCCGATCTTGAACGCGTTGCCTGAAAGGGCGACTGAAGCCGTTACGGTTACAACTTTCAAGAGCGAATTGTTTTACCGTAGATAAAACTATTTATTATCGGCTGCTATTTGGGATGAAGGCAATAATATTCAACATGCGGCATAGAAATTGTTTCTTGATCAACCCAAGCCTTGTGTGAATACTTTAGGCAAGTATTTGGAAATTTCAGTTGAAGCAGCAATAGTGTGTATGAGTGAACACTGTCAACTGCAACAGGAAGCACCTGTTGCTGCTACAAAGGAAGTTAGTTACAGAAAGCAACGTGACAAGTTATGTTAATTGAAGCTCATCTTCCATGTGTTTGTTTAGTGCGCCATCTGCTGATGGATTGTAGCTACAGCACGTATACATTTGATGGGGTTTCACAGCATAATTGTTTTTGTTTTTGCACTGGAATTTGATATACTAGTCGCATTTCCCTGCTCGTTACTCCTATTTTCTGTTGTTCCCTGGAACATTCGTGTACAACGTCAGTCACATTCCTCAATTTGACCTTTCTCTGTGCAAACATTTGCTGCCTCACTTGCACCCCCATTTTAATTCAATTCCTTGCATTTTCAGTTCATCGCCAAAACGCTCCCCTAAGTGGAAAGCGCTAAATTGGAATACCAAGAGGCCATTCTGCTCCTTGACCCTTTTCCAACGTTATATTATATCATGGCTGATCTATCCCTCAGCTCATATTCCCGCCATTTCGCCCAAACGATTGAAATTCGGAGCAAAAATAAACGTATTGAACTACGTCTGGAAAACACGAATGGAACCAACATCCCTAACCTCGTTGTGGAAGTTTTGCAGATTTCCTTAAATTTTTCATAATTTTTTTTCTCATTTTCTCTGCTAACTGGACTGGCTCTAATGCACTCTTATTCAACATTCCTCCACCAACCAGAATAAGCAGTTTCTCTATACATGGAGGAAATAGTTTTTGTGTAAACTGTATAAATGGGACATGTTTATTTTGATGTTTTCTTGCGTAATAAAGCAGCATAGAAAGAAACTTGCAAATAACAGCGTTCCCCAGAGCTAAGCCATTTTGAATTATTACTTGGATGATAACATGACTACAGTTAATAACAATGATAGCAATAAAAGTTGCATTTGATATAACGACATATCACATTTTCGAGACGCCTCACAGTGCTTCATATAATATACCGTAAATGAATTGACTGTATATTGTGAGTGCAAAGCACTGCAGCAAACTGTACACAGCGCTACCCCAGTGGACGAAGTGCCCAATTTATTATCAACACTAATATTCCGAAGGAATTGTTATCTCAGGAAAATCGAAACACCAATCTATTAACAACCTGCATCCAACTTACTGTTGGTAACCAGAGACGTGTGTGTGTGGAATAAGGAAAGTTGCACAATGTTTCGTTCTGCTGGGAATTGAACCAAAGTCTCTCGCTTGTGAGGCGAGTGCTATAACCATTGAGCTGCAGGACCCCACAGGGCAGTTTTTGTAGTGCGGAACCGCTGATGTGCGCCTCTGTGGGGCTCAGTGCACAGTAATACCCCGCGGAGTCCGTAATTCTCACTTGCAATATATTTAATGGGACGGTTCTCTCCGCTTGAGACACACTCGCTGAGAAGCGTTGTTTTGCAAATTCCGCGTGGTCCTTGTTCCTGTTTTTGGTGGATGTTCTGAGGATATATTCTGGAGCTTTGTTGGTTAAGTGACGGTACCAGAACAGATAGTCAGAGCCGGTGTTTGCACCTGTATAATTACACTGCAGAGAAACATCCTCCCCTTCAGTCACTGTCACAATAGTTTGGAGCTGTGTTACACCATCTCCTCCACAACGTCCTGGGAACCAGAAGTAGAATGATAACAGTAATAATAGCTGTTCTTATATTTGATACAGAGCTTTTTCATGTCGTTAACTTATCACCAAACATTTCACAGAGTATACTGTCTCTGTGCATTTTGGGCGCGAAACTTGTGACCGCATTGCTATTAGTAATTGTTTTTTTAAAGGATTATCAGTCCCGAAATGCGATCCATCGATCGGCAAAATAAATGTCACCTATTTACTGCTTGGTAAAGAGTTACATGTGAGTAGATTAAAGAAACTTGACTAACGTTTCACTGTGTCTCAACGGGGAACTGATCACAGTTCCTCTCACTTGCGAGGCCGATTCGCTGTCCAATAAGGTACAGAACCTTATGTATCATTTCACCTGTTAGTTATTTTGTGCAATAAAACATATGCATTGCATAATACGGTCAGGAACCAGAATGATAGAGCGAGTTTATCGCTTACCTGACAAGGTAATGATCACTGCTACCACATAGATATACATCGCCATATGTGCTTAACGGCGCGGGGCGTTGAGAGAGCGTTGATGGTGTAGTTGGAGAATGGTTCCTGGGAGGCTATAAGATACCCTGAGGAGCGCTAAACAGGAAACAACATACAGAAGTTAATATATACTGTGAGGGAGCATGTCTGAGGGTTATGTACAATCCTTGTCTCTGTCACTGTGCGTCATTTTCTCTGCTCTGCCATCTCGCTCCTCCATTGGTTCTCTTTCATCACTGAGATGTCTTCGTTCAGGCGGGTGTCTGACACCTGCAGCAAGTTACACACATATTTCAGTTCATCCAAAACAATTGCATGTGTTCCACATCTCTGTGCCATCTGTGCATGACAATGTGCCTGTGGAAAGGAACATGCTTTCTTCTTGGAAGGACATATCCAGATTAAGTATCTTCGCAGATCCCTAGGCAAAGACCGTCAAGGGTCTTGGGCATGTTTCCTTACTCCATACGCCTTATTATATTCCCTCCAAAACAATAATAAATAGATCATTTCAACGACTGTTTGTGGGTCACTGCTGTGCGCAATTGGCTACCGCGTTTGGCTTACAAATATACGGTTAATTCACATTACTGTATAATCTGTGAAGCGCTTTGAGAAATTTAGAAGACGTGAAAAGCGCTATATCACAAGCAACGATTATTTATTATTATTAGAAGCAATAACACACTGATTCTGATTTAAGTACTTTAAATTTTCTTTTCTTGTTAATATCTAGGATTGGTATGCCACCTGTCTCGTTGCAGGAATAACATACTGGTATCTCCAGAAGCTGCAACATGTAAAGATTTCTGTTTATATAATAGCAATCCTTGACTTCGATATAGCACCTAATCCTGCATTCGAGATGTGTCGATGATCTTAAAAGGATATAATAATCATTATGATAATCATTGCGTTTAATATATAACCTGATCACGTGATCGAGACGTCTCAAATCGCCTCACACGATATCACGTAATATGAATTGGTTCGATGTTTGTTGGGCGCAGTGTGGCGGCAAACTTACCCCGAATTAAGAGGCAGAAACTAAGAGGCAGTGTGTGCTGAGCAGTTACTGTGATGAACAAGAGGGGAATTGCCGGCTGATCACTGGAGGTTTGTGTACGGCCTCTCTGTGTGATTGTCTCACTGTGTCTCCAGTGCACACAAGTAAGTGGCGGCGTCTGTCACTTCTGTGCCTGTGATGCTCAGATTACTGCCCTTCTCTCTATAGTTCATTGTAGCTGTGATCCTCTCCTTCTGCTGCTCTCCTGTCTGTCCTGTTACCAAGTGTTTGAGGGTCTGGTTCGGATACTGTCTGTACCATTGTAATACCTGCGATTCTGTTGTGGAACAGCTAATAATTACTTGTTCCTTCTCCCCAGCAGTCACAGGGAGTGGCGACTGGGAGACTGTATCCTGACCACTGACATCTGGTAAACACAAAACAATTTGTTTGTGAAATTCACCCATTAATTTAAGTAGAACTACATACAATTTCTCGAAAGCACACTCACCCCAGAGGGTCACGGCAGCTATCAGGAGCAGGAATGCTAAAGTGTAAATCGCACTTCATAACGAATCTTTCAGCGATTTGATGAACAAATGCAAGTTTCCTTTGAAACATTCATCAAAGTTTCTCACTCCATACGCCTCTGTTCACGGAACACGGAGTAGGAATCCGATAGTCAATTGGCGAATCGCTTTCAAAGGATAATTATCCCTAAAAAAATGGGACTCGAACCGCGACTGTTTGATTGTCTCTGTTTTGTTCAATCGTTGCTATAATTTCGACCATACAATACGCAGTCACTACACTTTACAGTTTATCATGTGAAGCGCTTCCACATGTCTCAGAGATGATTTAAGGCTCTGTATAAAGCATCAAGTATTGTTATGATAGTCACAAGAAGGCAGGACGATGTATTCAGTCGAAGACCCTGAGTGTTTGCGGGCGACTACTCTATGTGTTGGCATCAAGTTCCCGGGGGCAGGTGTCAAGTTGATGATAAGTTGAAAGGAGCCATTGCGAGGGTTCAAAGTGAAAGAGGAGGAATCACGTAATATCAGCAGTTGCTCAGATGTCTCTGCCCCAATTAGTTGAAAATTTCCTTCCGGTCCATTTCCGCTCTATGCATCTGGGTTTCAGAAGTTTGGGTGCAAGACACAATTATTTCTGGCATAATTCATTACTACAAATTATTCTTCTCTGCTCTTTATTTCGCCGAATGACGCTTCATATATTAACATTTATTGTTTTTAATCTGGTGTGTGAAATATATGGATACCCATCACCATCATTATGAATATATATATTATATATATTATATTATATGGGCGAAACACAGCAACAAATTGCACGCATCAGTGTCACACAGACTGTGGTGGACAGAGTGACAATGTCTTCAAAAAAATCTAATTTTTATATTTTTTCATTATTAATTTCCATGCGTCCACGCTACACCTGGAACTTTTCCATATATTGGAGAGGAATGCGTTCTCTCTCTCTCTCTCTCTCTCTCTCTCTCTCTCTCTCTCTGTCTCTCTCTCTCGCTCCCCCCCTCTCTCTCTCTCCCTCTCTCTGTGTGTCTTTCTGTGTCTCTCTCTTTCTCACTCTCGATCTTTCTCTCTAACATTACCAATTCTGTTTACTGAGATACGGAGAGTATTAATAATAATCATGATCCTCACCCTTGACATGGGCCGTAATATGTCTTGAAGACATCTCAAAATGATTTTCAGATTACACAGTGAAGAGAATATGTCAAATGAATTTTTGGAATAGGCAAATCTAGGAACGTCAGAGTCTGGAAATTAAATCTCTTGGAAATTAAATCACTAAAACGCGAATTAATTTCCAACGTCTTATCACGTGCTGGAGAAGTCTCAAAGCATTTTGCTGAGCATAACTGTGAGGCAATTTACGCAATGTTTTATTTGAGAAACGCGGCAGCCATTTCTGTATAGCAGTGACCCAAAAATATTCGCATGTTGACGGAATAAAAAAAATTCTTTGTGAAGGGAATATTACCCAGGAATAATGCGATCCACCAATCGACTAACGGTTCCTATTTACTCCTCGGTAAACATTGGTGACTATGTGGAGCAAGGAAAATTGCCTAAGTTCATGAGTGTCTGCAGAGTTTTTGTACGGGGAATCTGCCTTCCTGTAACAGTGTGGGATCCAGGGCTCAGTAATACACAGCGCTGTCACCCACAACAGCACTAAGTATCTGCAGGTTAATTACTTTTTTCTCCTTGATCAGCTCGGCAGTGAAACGGTCAGGAGGATTGTCTACCTTTCCAGAGGAATATATCCTGAACAGGTACTGAGGAGCTCCATCTGGATTTTGCCTGTACCAGAAGGCAGCGTTTATTGTGGAATAACTGCAGTTCATTGTCACGTTTTCTCCTTCAAAATTTGTTATCTCGGGAGGATATTGGGTTACCACATCTTGCCCGTAGACTTCTGAAAGTACAAAAAAAACACATTTTGCTGAGCAGCGTTCAGTGGAGATTTGCAATCTGATTATCATAATAATAATTTCATTTTCTATAATTGGTTACCACACGTTTTGGGCGTCTCAAAGCGCACACAGAATACATTATTGTGAGAATTGACTCCATATTTTGAGGGAGAAAAGTTGCAGCCAATTAAGCGCTGCGTTGTCGCCCAAACCGTCATGGAATGATTAACGAAATTATTACAGACTGACTTATCCTTTAATATATTGTTACTCTCGGATAGCTATCCCTGAAACAATTATCAACCGGGTTCCTACTTACTGCCGATAATCACAGGCTTGAGGTGTAAGCAAATTTGCTGGAAGTTTCACGTTGCCCGGGAATCGAACACAGGTTCTCTCGCTTGTGAGGTGAGTGCTCTCAACACTAAGCTTCTGATCAAGTATAATGTAAAGTTCATGCCCTGGGTATGTCCACACATACTTACCGGCTATTGTGAGGATTGCTATCAGTAACTGGCAGAGAGCTGTCATGTTGGCTGCTGAGGTGTGGACAGATAATGGAATCTCTTCCTTTGTATATCGCTGTGTTGCTGCGTCAGTGACAAGTTGTGAGGAAGCGGCTGATCTGATGTGTTCAGTGGTTTATTACCTCCAATTGTAGGCGTTTCCCATTCACCAGAGGTTCTTAAATTTGATCTTCTGGCGATTGGTAGCCAATGGGCCTGCGATTGGATGGGAGCATCGACTCGCCTTTCACCCACAAAGAATGTAATTTACGTTATATTCTGTGATGCTATTTGAGACGTCTCGAATACTAACGAGTATTTGATCTTCGAGTATGGGACGTCCTCCTGACGTGAAAGGCGCTCTATAAATGGAATCTTCTTGTTGTTGTTGTTGTTGTTGTTGATGGTAGTACCTATTCTGAGTCAGAATGTTGTTGGTTCAAGAGACAAGTCGGCACTTTGAGTTCACAGTCTCGACTGAAAGTCAAATAGAGGACTATGTGTGGGGTATGTTGTCCTCAAAACTCAGATGAAACCGATCATTGACGTTGTGAATATTCGTGGGGAAATTAATGTTTGAATATTGCTTCATAATTTGGCTCACAATGTGCAGTCAATGCTTTTTACATAAATGCGATTTAAAGTTTTGGATCCGCCTCCAACGTGAAAAGAGCTGTATCAAAGGCAAGGATTATTGTTATTATTTTTATTGTTATTGATGGCCAAACCTTCTTGTCATTGCATCAAAATAAGGAATCTGCAAACTAAGATACCTAAACCATGTTAAACAAAGTCAGCTTTAATCTTCTTCTGCATTGAAATTGTTGTTTCGGATGTACGTCTACTTATTTAAACAGCACAGATGGACATGCACACGTGGCGAGACTCCCAAGGAAGCAAGAAGTTTGAAGTTATTTATGTGAATATAGCATTATTATATTCAATAATGATAAAAATATTCATTGCATTAATTCACTTGGTATAGCGCCATATCTCGTATTCGAGACACTTCAAATCGCTTCACAGAA